CTGTTTCAAGCTTCTAGTAGTACCAAACGTTTATCAGCAATAACTGAAATAAGCCATGTTTCAGTTTTCAGAACATTAAAAAGACTTAAGACCTTAATATTTTACTCCAGTGCAAAACTTGCTACCCACAGATATTCCTCGACGAATGGAATTTGCACAATTTGTTATAGATGCGACAAATGCAAATAACAATTTCGTTAGCAATATTATTTTTACTGATGAAGCCACTTTTACACGTAGAGGCGTTTATAATTAAATAAATTGTCACATTTGGGATAACAAAAATCCACATGCCGTCAGAGAAACACACTTTCAACATGAACTGAGAATAAATGTTTGGTGTGGAATCTTTAGAGATAAAACTTCAATGGCAGATTGTATTTGGAATTTCTTTAAAACACCCTTTTGATGATGAAGAGTTACCATTAAACCAAAGAAGAGATATGTGGTTTACACAAGATGGAGCCTCACCACATTTTCCCTTGGTGGCGCGAAATTATTAGAACAATCAGTTTACTCAGAGATGTATAGTGAGTTTTCATGGCCTACTCGGAGTACTGATTTTAATCCCTTAGATTTTTATTTTTGGGGACATATGAAGACACTTACGTATCCTCAAGAAATTAATACCTTACACGAACTATGGCATCAAATAGAGAATGCCGCAACTTTTATTAGAAATCAACCGATCATTTTTCCGAATGTTAGGAAAAATTTTTCTGATAGAATTCAAAAGTGTATTGAAGTTGCAGCGGTCTACTAAATATTTTTTCAATAATTTTGTCTTATGTAACCATCATTTTATTAACAAGTTCGATCCGAAAACCAAGAAAAATTGTTTCAGTATAATAGAAATCATAGTTCTGATTTTATATGAACTGAAACAATATGAAAAAAATTATTTGAAATGAAATTTACTAAATCTGCTAAATTGTACAACTTTATTAGTGACATAGTCATGACTCGTGTGAAATGGATTTTAAACTTTACCTTTACATGCAAATAACTTAAAAAATACTCTATCGTATTGAAACAAAAGGATGGTTACAACATTTTACCTAGGCATTTGCTGTAGTCAATACTATTTGCGTTTTAAGTACAGAGACCACACACTCTAAAACCACTTAAGATAGCCGGTGGTTTAAGAGTAGCTACCGCTTCTTTTAAAATTAGAGCAAAGTTGCTCTTACTTAGTTGTTTAAATGGATTTTGTCTGTTTCAACTCAACAAAGCTCTTTTCCACGCGTTTTTAAGTGGCTTGCAACTAGAGATGTCGGCGGGTTGAAGAATTCTAGTGGCATTTGAATATAATGCCACTAAGATGATTTCGAGTTCTGTACATAGTTGACTTAGTTGGTATATTAAATGTGTTTTGTACCTGTCACATTGTCAAATTGTAACTCCCGCAGGGAAAATGTGAACATAACGGTAATATTTGTTTTCGATGGGCTTTGCTCTATCTAATAAACATTTGTGGCACCTTTTGGTGCAAGAACCCTATCTTCTTTTAGACAAAAAGTAAAATAACTTTCAACCATGTTGTAAACTCTGCTAGGATCAGAAAGAATGTTAAAATAGTTACTATATTACAACACTGTAGGTATATTAACAAAACAATTACCTACGTTTTTATCCAAAGCTCAAGAATGACTGAATGAGATATATTTAGTTAGTTCATGCTTTTTTAAAGTAGCATGTTTACTTTTTCAGTCCACTGTTTTCCCAGTGCATAGAGTCTAACCCTTAGTTATTCATAGCTACCCAACTTAATAAGTTCCATACAGTAACACCTAAAGTCTTCTACTTCAATACATAAAGAGAGAACATTGCCTGAAGAAAGGTTACTTACTATAGACAGAACAATGCTATTGACTCTTTTAGGATTTACACGAAACATTTTTGAAGTCACCAGTTGCCAAGAACAAGACTTTTTCTGTGTTTTCCAGAACGTGAAAAGTGTCTTTTGTAGTAATTCCTAACCTATTAATAATTTTTAAATTTACTAAGCTGCTAAATTCCTTAACACAAGCGTAAAAATGATCGGATTATGGTTTAAATAAAATACATATTCAATACAATCTACACATTTCAGTTTGAGAACAATTTTCCTAATAATAAATCCACGTATATAAAAAAGAATACAATTCTTTCATTAAGATTTCTTATATCCTATTCACACAATGCTTAACTTTTCCTGAAGCAGATCTATTTCAATTTCCTTTTAATTATTTTTAAAGAATATTCTTTTCCTGCTTCACCCTTAGGCTTGTTAAGTAAGTAAGATAGCCACTGTGCTACGGCCGCCACTTTTAGAGCTTGATACGATGTCATTTCAATTCATAATATTGAAAATGGTAAACAGAGTTAAAATTAATAGACTGATACTCACCGAAATACATGTCGGTCATATGAAAGACATTATGTCTTAGAATTTCTTGTAGTACAAACCAATGCACTGCATAATCGAACCATTTTTATACAATTATTTTACACCACAAACCCAAAGATTCTATATTATAAAAACTAATTACGATTTAAAATACACTTGGATAAGTAAAAAATAATTATTTTTGGCTAAAAGATTATCTTACTTTAAACTTTAAAAAAACTCTTACAAAATTACACGTAAAAATTACAGGAAACAAGTGAAATTTCAAACATTGTTTAATTTTTTTTACTTCCTTATTTGTTTCCACGTAGAGGAAAACACGCACACCAAACTTTAATAAATCAGCTTCACTTATTTCCACCGAGTTCCACATCTAGTTTATTAATACTACATCTATGGGTGAAACCAAAAAAAAGTGGCTAGAGTTACGTTTAAGGCTTAACGTTATGTTTAAAGGTATCTTAACTATTAAATTTAATAGGAACTAACCTCAATTTTAATTAAAAATGGGTTAAATTTGATGTTTCGATTTCGAATTGGAAATCTAAATGTCAAAATCAAAAAAACGAAACAAAATCTTAAAATAATACACAATCGAACTGCCTGCCTAATGATTCGCAATACATGGTATATTCTCATGGTACAAAGAATAAGGTTATTCTTTGTACCATGGATTCCCGGTTTAAAATTAAGGAGTTGTGCACCTGTTTGGAGGGGAATTTTGACAAATAACAGATGCTTGAATCGTTAAAATATATTTACTTTGAGATGAAAATTGATCAGTTCCAGCATTTTCACAAAATTTATGAATATTGACAAATATCGAGGTGGACTATTTTAAGTGTGGGTCATTCTGTATATTAAAGTATTATTCAACGTTGGCTGTGTTCAACTATTTCTGTTGAAAATTCTTTTTATGGTATACTTATTTTCTTTATCCAATTATGTCGGCATTTTTTTTGTAAGAATATATAATATTTAAAAAATTTAGATATAATCAATAATAACTTGTATTGTATGTATATAATGTATTGCTAAATAAAATTAACGTAATACACAATTCAGCTTTACGTACATGTTTAGGTGCTATGAAGTCCACGCCAATTCAAACCTTATATTTGGAATCCTTGGACCTTTAAATATCAGACGAAACTTCCTGACCGAAAAATTTCTGGTAAAGACATATATAAAAAATAAATCCTTATACACAAAGCTCATCACTGTGAATTGCTGTGATGTGTTTACCAAATACTAAGGAAAAAACAAAATCGCCTTTAGTCTGCGAAGCTCTGCAACATAATATAGAAGCATTAAAAGAGATAGATAAAGCTACGTATACACTTCAAATCATCTCATATGCAACATCTTGTTCAAATACAAATATCATGGTACCAAAATATGGTGACAATATACACATAAATAGAAAGATTATTTACTCAATTTTATCAGAATTCGAAAACTTTGTCGTTATATATATATCGATGCTTCAAAATCATCAAACGGCACTGGATGCGTTTTTTTGTCCCGTTGGAACGAATAGAACACACATTTAAGTTGAACTCTCAGACCTCTATTTTTACAGCAGAAGGTCTTGCAATATATGAGACCTTACTTTATGCAACAGAAAGTAACTCTGACCATATAGTGATATTATCAGAGTCTTTATCAGTTTTGACCTCTATTTTGAAACCGGAATTGCCAAATACGTACAGTTGTCCTTATATGTACAAAATTAAGGATATCAAACAACAGTTAGTAACAAGGGGCAAAAATGTACTCTTTGTTTGGATTAAAGCACATATAGGTTTGGAAAATAATGGACATGTAGATTAGCAAAAGAAAGTATTTTGTCTGGTAGAGAAACTTAGTATAAAATCACGGCTTGCGACCTTCTGGCTTTCTTTAAATTGAGATTATACCAAAGGTAGGATAATATATGGAAGGAATATTCCATTGTTAGCCCAAATAGATACACTTCTCTTCAAACAGATATTCCTAAATCTCCTTGGGTATAAGTTTTTTAATGTACCTAGAAAATATGATACCACGATCATTAGACTGAGATTTACACATGCATTTACCCCAAACATTTATTTAAACTTGGGGTTTTAGATAATGATCGATGTAAATTTTGTACAGAAGAACGAAACCTAGATCATATATTTTTCAGTTGCCCAGAAATACTATAATTTCATCCAGATTAATAAATAACTTACATAAACACAATATATTAGCCCCTTGGAACCTTCAGTACTTATTATCACTAGACTCGAGAACGGTGTATGATTCCTTAGTTATGTTTTTAAAAGATAGTAAAATAACTATATAAATAATTATGCATTAGTTAATAACGTAACCTTTGTTTCTAACCCAATTGTTAAATTCCTTTCTTACCGTGCTCTAGTGTTGTATGTCGTTAAAAAAAATGCCTTGATGTGCCCCTAGGCGAGAAGAGAGTGACCCTGTTTACCTGTTTATTGTTTTGTATATTTATTTTAATATAAACTCGGACAACCATTTCTACCATGTTGAGTTTTGCTGAATGTCTAAAAGTCTATGCAAAAAAAAATAACTTGTTAAAGAAAGATTTTACAATTTGTTTATTTTCTAGATTCCAGATTATTAATACGTCTTCGAAGAAACCCTGATAATGGCCCACAATCAGAAGCTATTATAGAACCAAGATTCGGTCGTGGATGGCAAAACAATCACCATGGATATAATCACGGCGTTGGTAAGTTTTTATACCATCTTTGTAATATTGCTCATAACTTGCATGTGCCTGTGCATTGCGGACAATTTGGTAGTCGTCCTGTAGGTCATGTTGATATTCCAATTTTTGCTTCTCCAGGACGATGGAATCGGGGACCAACACGGGGAATTCATCATTGGAACTATTTTGGACATAACTGGGGTAAGTAAGCACGTTAGAGCATACATTTTATCGAATCTTCTTCTAAATCGTATTGATAAATTAAACAGATTTATGAATATAGTGAATGGTTTAACCATGTCATTCATCTAGATTATTGCGATTTTATAGTTTTCTTAATTGATCCTTAAAGATTTATCCTCCGATAACTACGTATTTCTACGTAGTTAGTCAATAATAATTGATTTACAGCATGTACAATTTGAACAAAGCAACAACTGTTTCCATAATGCATCTTTCTCCAAATTTCTGTAGCTTGCTCACTTTGTTCTCATTATTCTAGCGATTGTATTTGTTTTAATTACCGTAAAGAGCAAAAAAAATATTAATACCGTAAAGGACAGAAAATGGCCTACATTTGGCCACATTATGCGTAGTAATAAATACCGACTTCTACAGTTGATTCTACAAGACAAGATTGAGAGCAGGAAAGACCCTGGACGCAGACATATGTCCTAGCTGACCAATTTTAGGAAATGGACTGGTCTAACGTCAATTAATTTATTTCGAGCTGCTGTGAATAGAATAAGATGGGTCAACGTAGTCGTCCACTTGAAAAAAAAACATATAGAAATTATGGTCATTATCACTTTTTACGTAAGAAAGAATATACAATGAGGTAAAACGATATTAACATTGAATACTATGCAAATTATGCAGAGTAGATAAAATGGTCAAATGTCTAAACGATACCATATGTCGACATCAAAAAAAAATCTACAAAGCATAAGGTTGACAAAATTCAAAAACTAGAACATAAACATCAAAAGCTAAAAGCTTTACTGGAACAGAAATGAAGCTACTTTTAGATATAGTTGAAAAGACACTATTAAACAAGAGAGAAACAAAATTATATGAAATACATGCAGGTTTGAAGACAGCACGATCAGGGAAGTAAAAAGGAAAAAACTGAAATAAAGCAAAGAGAAGTGTGGTGATAATTAAATAAAATAAATCATCAGGAAGAGAGCAAAACATTCACCTACCTTAGAGGATATGGAGCGATGATCTACGAATGAAAGGGGAACTGTATGATGATAATATATACAGGCACTTTGTCTAATAGTTTTTAAAAAGTAAAAGAAAAATAAAATGGAAAGAATATTGTTCTGGAGCTATTTTATTGTGGCATTTTAATATTATTTACTATCTTTAATAGGAATTAAACGTGATTTCAATTAAAAATACGTTTATTTCGTTTCTACTTCGGAACTTGTTCAAAATAAATAAATAAAAAAAACATGGAAATAAATTTATTTTCAACTAAAATTGTGTTTAATCCTCTTTAAAGATAGTAAATAAAGTAGAAGTTTTTGCATTATAATACGGCCTTCAAATTGCGACGTATTCAATCTTGTCTCCGCTCAATTTATTAGACTCACTTATTGAATATAAACAAAGTAAATTATTATAATCTTTTACTGTAACATTAATTTTGTTAAACCACTCTTGGCATTGTGCAGACACTCTCCTAGACATGCTGTTTATGCATTTTCCTGCGATTTCTTTTAAATTTTCGGTGTGATTCCAAAAAATTATTCTTTCTATCAACTGAACCTTGTTGGTAATTATTTCCTTGGCTAACTCTATTTTAAGGCACTCCCAAAAATTTTCAATGAAGTTCAGGTCTAGGGAGTTGTCGGGCACTGGTAAAAGCGGAATTTTTTGTTCTATCAAAAAATTTTTAATTCTTTGAGCCATATGGCAAAGTGCTATATCCTGCATAAATATCTTATTATCTTAATTCACTTGTGGAACCAATCTTGTCTGCAAAACCGTTTTATGTCTTGTCGTATGGTTCCTTCTACGACATACAAACGTCCCATACCTTTGCCACTAATCACCGATCATATCATTACTAAGGTGGGATGTTAATTGTATTAATTACACACCCCTTTTCATATTTTTCCCCTGGACGTCTACGGAGAAACTGGGCCTTACCATCGCACATAAAGTGCGAAAATAAAATGATTTGTAATAATTTACCTTACGCCAATCATCAATAGACTAGTCTTTATGGATCTTGGTCCAAGATAAGCGTTTTATGAGCATGTGTTTTACATGCATTTTGGTGTTAGTTTTGACTTCTTGTCATCAGGTCAACAGGCGACATTTGAAGCCCAAGCCATATAAATTTTAGCGTACGGTGGCCACCGATACTAAGCGTTCTGCTTCTTCCAACTTATTTCTTGTGGCCCTTCTGTGTGTTACAACTAAATTTTTTAAAATTCGTTGCGCCCTGGGGGTATCTGAAGGTTTTTTGGACACCTTCTGTGACGTCGCAGGTAGCTTCTCTTTAAGTTTTTGACTCAATCTTCTCACTGACAACCGGAATACACTACATTTTCGTGCTATCTCTCTCTGACTAAGTGCTGTATTCTTTAATAGAGCAGTAATGGACGAGATTTTCTCAACACAAAGATCTTTAGATTTACCCATCTAAAAATTCTAATCCAAGATTAATCGTCTTATTGCATAATTAAGAATTAACCAAAATCAATAGTAACACTATTATGTAATAATGTCAATACTTAGTGGTGCAAATTTTGAATAAACTGGCCAAACATCTATGTTTTAAGTTAAAAAACTCATAATGTAAAACATTCAGGTATTCTAAGAAAAATTTATATAATTTTCTACGTAACTATGTACCCAATAGTTATGCAACCCATTCAACACCCTATTTTCCAAATGAACATACTCTCAATTAGAGATTGAAATAAAAAAACTGAAATTTTTAGGCTGAGTCTAATAAATTGAGCAGGGACTCTGTATAGAATAAAACACTTGGGAAAATATAATACAGCCAACAAATGATTGTGTTCCATGTCCCGCGATGAAAATCTTATAGGGGATAGATGGCCAAATAGAAAGAAATATGGATGTGTTACATCTACCATATAAATTAAAAATCATTTAAACAATTTTGTTAATAATAATTTGACTTTAACGAAATAAACTAACTGATCCTAAATTTAATTTTTACCCTAGACCTACAGGATAATAGTAATGGTATGTAAATAATTGGGAATTAAAATAAAATGCTTTTTGCTTAAATACTAATTTTAAATATATGGTGATAATGAACAATAAATTTATATTACTATTGTATAATTTACCATTATTTTCTTAGAATTATTTTAGATCTTTAGGATTTTCAGATTAATATATCATCGTAACAGGAAAAACTGTGAGTAGAATTTAAAAAACGACTTATAGCCTTTTTTGGTAAACTATTTTCCAAAATCAATCGCCACAACGGACGGGAAATGCAGTCCTAAAAATATAATCAATTAGGACTTCACAGCTGCCAAATTAAACTCGCAAACTCTCATTGAAAAATTGTATAGAATTTTAAAATCTGAAAACAAAAATTAAAAATAAATGGATACGGAATGCAATCCATACACAGCGATAAGAAAAAGATAGGAGATTAAAAGAAAAATGGTATGCAGAAAAACGTAGAAACGTAGAACAATATATCAATGAAAAATCTAAATAATAAATGAGTACTAACCATACTAACCAACCAAAAATAGGTAACACATAGATGTATCTTTATGGAAAATATAATTCTGGAAACTAAAGCTGTGTGTCTGTGTTCAGAAAGAGGGGATGACATTGCCACAAACTAACACACACGTGAAACTAAAGCTAGACTGTAAAAATTACTAAAATATACTAAAGAACTTTTCAGAGTTCTAATAACTAATAAAAAAACAACAATGTAAGAAACAAAGATCAAGTACCAGTAGAGATAATAATTAAGTTAATAGGAGAAGGAATTGGTTTTACTCCTGTTTTCTCTCTCCTCCTATTTTCATTGTAGTACTTGTACATTGTAAAAACAACAAACGCAAAATAATGCTCAGACCATCTAACAATCAATTTAATAAGTGATAAACCCAAATTATACATCGAAGTATAAATAAATAAAATTGAGCAAATTATAAGCAAAGACAATTTTAATTCATGCATGCAAAGGGGATGAGGATATGCCGGTTTTATCTAAACGCACTGATGCAGGATGCATGAATATGAATCAACCAATACACATTTTTGTTCTGAATTACATCAAGGCCTTCGATAAAGTCAGACATAACTACCATATCCAGTAAACAAAAAATAAAAAAACATTACGATACCTATATGAAAGATATCTGAATCATTAATAACCTATAATATACTCAGAAAGCTATACTAAATACTGTTCGGAGCTATTTTCTTGTGGTATATTAATGCAATTACTATTTTCGTTAGAAATAAGCCACAAGTTTAAAATAAGTTTATTTTTGACTTCAGATATCGTTGTCAAATAAACACATTTATTAATTAAACAAATTTTGTTCGTTGTTTGTGAATTCTTCTAATTATTTAATTTTATCTGACTCCTTCATATTGACAATTCAGACATATATAATACATTTTAAAGTAGATGACTTTAAAACTATATTGCCAATATTGTTGAGATGCGTTCCTGGCACGACTTTATTGTAAGAGAGTTGATTGGATAAAATGATATCAACTTTAACTTGAGAATACTCGTCAGAATGTGATCAGTAGCATGTGATCCGCCTTTAAAAAGACAACCATATGCAATGGTGACAGTAAACTTCTCCTGCTAGTGATTCCAGAGTAAATCATGAGGAAAAAACCTTACCATCCCGACGTGGTACCTAAGTATTTGGCTGGTATTTAGTTACTCTCAATAAATACTCAACTCCGTTTGTAAATGTATGTTATATTTATATACATAAATAATGTATCCTCGATATATTAGTGATTTACTAATAATGGTATTTTCTTTATATTGATTTCCTATTTTATATAGTTATTCTGAAGTTAAAGTTGATTTCATGTAATAGAATGGCATAATACATCCTAGGAGAGCCTTTATTACGTTAGGCATGCCCTGCGAATAATTTTCGCAAGAGACTCCTGGTTCGAAAAAATACAAAATTTAATTTCTATTACAAAAAAAA